CCAGCACCACCAGCACCAGCACCACCAGCACCACCAGCACCACCAGCACCACCAGCACGACCAGCACCACCAGCACCACCAGCACCACCACCACCACCACCGCCACATCATCCACCAAATCATTTTTCTCACCATCACCATCATCATCATCATCACCATCCTCATCATCGTCACTATCGTCGTCAACATCATAAGCATGGCCAGCATCATCATCATCATCATCATCGTCAGTGTCATTACCAGCATCAGAATCAGCATCGTCGCCAAGATGACAGTGACCAACATCACCATCAAAGTTATCTTAGAACAACACCATCATCGCAGCATTCTGCTGGTGCTGATTATGGCCCACTGGGACAATAACAATACCATGCGACATATGTCTCACTCTCCCTCCCTCTGCCGCTGCCGTGCAGATGATGTCGTGTCCCCAAAGCCCGTATCAGCACAGGTATGTGGACGAGAAAGATTTACATGTCAAAACAACATCAACAGTCTGCGACAGCTCGGGTCAATTTGCAGATGCTCAAGACAACACACGTCCACCGACCCCTTCAGGTGTATCACCCCGGAGACAACAGGGAGACCATGGGAGATCACCGGGAGACCACCAGGACGCGGTCAACACTTTCTCCCTCTACTGACAGGAATCCGCAGCACGGCCGACATGCCACCCTGCATCTGCTGGCGCCCAACCAGGCTTTCCCCCCATCTACTGGCCGCACTCAGGATACTCAGGGCCAAGGTGCGAGTGTTTCCCCGACTGGCGCAGGACAGGAGCACCGCCCAAAATGTTGCCATAAATTTTGGGAGTTCAGACAAGTGTGGCCAATGCAATGGAACTAGCTTTCCGGGTGCTGGGCTGCACCCGCCCAAGATTTCCTCTATGCCTTCACGGATCACGGCTGCATTCATGCAAACAGACAGGATGCACAGTGCTGCGTGCAGTCTCTGTACGAACGACGGAATGCGAACGGAATCGGTGTCAAAGCTTTTGATGTATCAGATCTTTGGGCTGAGATGGGTCTTGAAAAGATCGTTAAAGCAAAAACAATTCTAATGTGGCATCATCCCCGTGGACCTACAGGGCTACGGATTCCAAACCGAAGCGAAAGACATCCTGCCCCGAACGCTAAGCCCCAAGCCGCTTATCAGAAAACACAAGGTAGGGCCAGCACTGCGACCGCTCTTGACGTAAGCTGGATGGCCCGAGAAGGTGGAAACGAAGCCTGCTGCAAACTCAGTCAAGGGCTCACTAAGATTTCAGGTCGGCTTGTAGGCCTGTAGGAAATCACACTTCGTTTCAAGGTCTTGTCTCCATCACCAACGCCGAGCTCATGGCTGCGAATTACCGCCTCCGTTGTCTAGGATTCATCAAGTGCGGAATTGAAGTTCGGGGTCACCCTGACTGCGCCACCTCATTTCCCGGTCCCATTTCGTCAGAACTTGGATTTTGATAGTCTCGTCTTCGGGTTGCGGGTTCCCTTCAGTTCCACATTTGGGCTTGCACAAGAACAAACAAACACACTCACAAAAACACGCACACACACACACACACAGAGTCACACACATGATGTGGAAAGTTTGGAATCCAAAGGGGCTTCCTGTCTGTGAAAATTTTCGGAACGAGGACGCTGCTGTACCATCTAAGGAATGTACGGTCGGTGTACAGTGGGGTCCCTTATCTTCTGACTCTCACGTTGCCGGACTCATGCACAGTAAACTGGTCCATCATTTCACGTCGAGGGTGTGAGGCGCCGTGGCATCTCATGGTTTCAGGAGCTTACAGTAAAAGCCTTGGCTTTCAAAGGCCTGGGCAGTTGGCTTGCACAGATCCAAGCAAGTCGTCCAATTAGGTATATAGTAACACTCGCACTCAACTCACGCGAGGTTTACGGGCACTAAAACATCGGTACAGCGTTCGACTAGGTATTGCGCTGTCCAGACACAGAGCCTTTTACAAACTATGGAATGCCAGAGTAAGCCCGCAAAAGTGGGAAAAGTATAGACGAACAAATGGACCCGGTCGCATAATGAATTTGACGCGCTTTGTCGGCTGAGGTCCGATAGGTCTTTTGTCGACTCGGACTTTTCACGCGGAGATCCTGCAGCTGTGCGGGTTTAGTAGGCCAGCCGATGCATGTTGGTCAACTCTCTGAAAGCTGGCTATCCTAAACGCAGTCTGCGTATAGGTCTTCACTGGAAGTGCGCTGGTATGTACTGGACAGGAGGTGGCGAGCAACTGTTCGGATAGATAAGCAGAAGAAGCATCAGTTCATGCCGCTCTGCATGTGAGGGGTTACAAGGGCCCTCGCTCGAGTTCTTGTGACAGGCTGTGACCAACACAACCACCAAGTGAAACAAAAGCCAGGACCGCAATTCAAAGGGCCTGGCAGCAACAGCTCTACTGCTGAACCGTTGACATGGACAAGACACCTAAAGCCAGCCCATGCACAAAGCCATCCTTCGACGTGTTTCATGTGACGCATCTTGAGCATCATCATGACATGATTTGTGCGTGTACTATACTGCCCCGAAAGATACACATGGTTCCTGAGAGCAAGAAGCTTGGTTCGACATCGTTGGTGTACTAGTAAGAAGGGAGCGGAAGAGATGCAGGGGACACGGCCTTATGTCGGAAGTCAAAATGACGGGCCCGTTGTCGGTATGCAGATAAGTTGTTGTTTTTGTAGAAGGTCCTCGTCGGAGTTCCTATTCCAAACGTGCTTGGTTTAATTATGAGGGGGCCGCTATTTTTTGAAACCTCCTGCTACAACTTTACGTACTGTAAATCTCACGCTGAGCGGAAGCTCTCAAGCACATGCCCCGCCTGCAAAGCGTGGTGAAGTCGGCATGCAGCAGCGACTCGGTTGTGAGCGCAGGGCAGGCAACTGTTTAGCAAAAGCTCTGAGACGAGCACATGTAGAAAAAGGATGGGTCACCATAGGACCCATAAGAGAGGCTTCAGGATACAGCGATATACAGCGTCCGTGCTGTGCTATGCAGACCCTGCAGTCTGCTCGGCCAAGAATTTCCCGGCTCACGCGGCCAAATTAAATGTTGATTTGCGGATTTCTTCACCCAAAGGAATAGCTCCTGATCCCCGGAAGGTTGCGACCTTCAAAACCGGAATCGCCGACAGCACCTGTAAGCCCTGGCATCCTTCTGCCAATCACCCAAGAAACCTGGCTCAACCCCATAAAAACCCTACGATGCCACAAACTCCATGACCTTGCGCGCTGGATGAGAATATCCGAACCATCCTGAGCTCCGAACCGTGAACTCCCAAAACCCCAGAGACCTTTCAGGCTGAGCGCTGGACGTACCTGCCTATAAGATCGAGCTTGAACCCATCCGACCGAAGCCTTCCAAAGGGATCTTGAGGTTGGGGGTTGTCGGGTTCAGTGTTTTGTGCGTCCGGAGCGAGGTCTATCGAGCGAAGTCGGCGTGAGACATTCTGACGCTATGTCAAGCTTCTCTCCCAGAAGGGGCAGGCACAAGCAGAATCGGATTTTGCTGAAGAGTAAATTACAAATTCAGGTTGTAGGGCTGCGGGGAGAGAGTCCAATTGGGCTCAGGCCAGAAACGGTGAGAAGCTTCTCTAAATAGCAAAAGGTCCATGTTCCTTCATGTCCAGGGTTTTCGGTGAAACAAGCGGTGGGCCGGCAACACTTGCAGCGCAGAACACAGTCATGGGCTGAGTATATGAGGCAAAGACAAGAACAGAAAGCACTCTCGCCTAGTCCTAGTCAGAGCTGCTGTCCATGTAAACGGCCAGCGTAACCTACTCAACCACAGCCGCTGCCCATGCAGGCACCACTGTACTAGTTGGTGCATGGGCAGTCTCTACGATGGGATTGAATCCTGTCGCCAACATGCAGAAGAGACCGGGCAGCGTGAACTTGTCAGGCTCCGCTTCTTCGCCGTCTTCGCTGCAGCGGCCGACGACCGAACTCATCAGGATGAGTTCCTAACTGCTGCACGAACGCAGCACGCAAAGCTGACAGAGACCGACGATCGCGCCGCACGTCGTGTCTGTGGTCAGCACCAGAGTCACACTCCTCAGATTTCACAACCTGTGCGGCCTGTGCGTGAAGCTCGCGGGACTTCGATCGGCGCCTTTTGCGTCTACGTCTGCGAGGTTCAAATTGTCTGGGGATCACCTCGAGAGAAGGGTCAAAGGTCTCGCAGCGCTCCTCTCCAGCATACGGGGGCGAGTTGGGCTGGATGATGATGCCGGTGATCGCCACGGCATCGCTGCTGACCACCACTGCCCTGCTTGCCACTTTGCCCTTTAGTGGCATCACTTTCGACGTGTCGTAGAGAACCTCAACTATGACACGGTGGTACATGGCATCGTCGAACATGTGGTGGGGCCTGGCATACCAAATCGATCCGCTCAAGCTCGGGGTCAAGTACACACCTGGGGAATAAAAATCATGTCCCCTTTCCTTGCTGCTGGACTCCAGAAGCACGCCGCTCTCCAAGATGTTCCATAGGGCGTAGAACCACGTGCCATGAAATCCTCTGCTCCATCCTTCTTCGGGCTCGATGTATGCATTCTCCACGGTGCGGGGCGGAAGGTAGCGGTAGTACATGAAAGGATAGGACGGGTCGCCCTCGGAGGCAGGCGGATCCCATCTCGCATCTCTCTCAAGGGTATCCTGGAGCAGCCGCTCCTGGAGCCAACGATCTAAGTTCAGACCAAAAGCTTCCATGGCCATTTCGTCCGGAAACGTTTGGCGAGGTATGGCTTTCTTCCTGCGGCCGGAAGACTGATTCTTCCAGTGCTGCACCAGATCTCGTTGGTTGTACTCCGCCAGCTTGAGGACAGACTCGAGGCATCTTTCTCGTCGCCCTCGTGGCGTCCTTCCCTCTGCTTCCTTGCCTCTGCCGCTTTTGCGCCTTTCTCGAGGAGCCGGTGGTGGAGGTGCACATTTCAAGGGACGCTGAAGCTCCTGGTCGAAGACGTACACGACAGGATTGCTCCCAGCAACTTCCTTCACGCCCTCGAGCTTGGACATGTCCTTGCCTCCCGACCCAGTGGCCATGGTCCAGTGGATTTCGCGGGTTTAGGCTTCCCGAGTTCTGAAGCTGAGGTCATGCTACACGGATTCAGCTGCTTTCGGATTTGGACTTGCAGCAAGCTGCTGGATTTGCGCGCCTGTTTGCTAGTGGAAATTCCCTCTGGGGTCAG